CAACCGGACATTTCTTATAAGGTGGGGATGTCACAGTCAGCAGCTGCACCTCCAGAGTTCCTACACTCGATACTACTGAGTCTTTAGTCTGCAAAAGGGGTACATCTGTCAAAGGTTATATATTTTGACAGCTCTCTCTATCTTTCTCTTTCTCTCTCTGGGTTCAGAAGAGATTTGCCATTAAAAGCCGGTTGGCTGCTTATGTAAGAGAGGGTAACCACAGAGGAAGACCGGTTTCCTCGGTCTGTGCTTGTGGGCTTTTAGAGGCGCACGGATGGCTGTAGTTTAAATAAAACAAGCAAACAAAAAACTTCTGGATTTGGGGAAAAAGCTAATTCTCTATTAAATTAAAGTCAAGAGGGAGGGGGCACAATTTGTTCTAGAAGGGAATTGCGCCACACGAAAATGCAGTGGCCAAGTGGGTGTGGGTGTGTCATATCCACCCCCTATTTTAGATATCCCCTCCTTTTGCTCATCATCAGCTGTTGATTGTTGCACTTTGAAACGCCCCACACAGAGTGTGATCTGTTCTGATGATCTGTGCCAACCCTTTTAAGAAAAACGAGACCAACTCAAGAGCGCTGCTAATTTTCACCAGTGCTTGTGATGAGGAATATTCTAGTGGCCGTCAGTTCCCAAGGCAGCGAATGGTTTGTAGTTAGAAATGAGGAACCTCAATATGCTAAACCGTAGAAGACCAAAAAAATGCAGTAACTTGCTCAGAATATTCATGAAGCTTGGAAAAAACCCTGCGGGCAAGCACACTGGGTTTCTGGATCTGTTCTTAACTAACACTACAAAATGCGGTAACTTCAAAGTCTTTTTTTTTTCCTTTGGTGTGGCATTTCTGTGCTCATCTGGCTTGTTTTAGCTGGAGATGGATCTTGTTAAAATGACCTTTTTAAAAAAATCAATCCCAGCTGTTTTAGTAGACTAAAAACCACCAAGATTCTGGAAAAGATATCAAACCCAGAATCATCTCAGTCATTTATGAATACAGAGTTTATAGAGATTGCTAGATAGCTCAGTGGTGTTGGCCTCTGGAGACAGAGGCTGAAAGTTCGATTCCCCCCTCTGGGCCTCCTAAACAGGGGCTGGCAAGATGATTATTATTCTTTTATTGCTTTGTATTTATACTTTAGGAACACGAGGAATGACGACTTTTCATTTATTAGCTCAACAACTAATGGTCCATTTAGCTTTGAAGTTCAACACTAAGATCTTTCCCACAGCTTGGAAAAGTTACTTTTTTTAATACAACTATTGGCCTCGCTACCGGGAAATTCTAGGAGATGTCCTTTAAAAGCAACTTCTCTGAGCTCTCTGTGGCCTTCCAACAAACGGATGAATTGGCGGAGTTAGCTCTTTGTTAAAAATGAGTAGATGGTTTTGCTTTATCATGAATTAAACCATTCCTCTGTCTTTCCCCAAATGGTCTTGGGGAAACCCATTAGCTCCTGGGTTTTGACGATGACCAACCCTCAGATCCTTTTTTAAGTTGGAATACTGATTACAACAGAGTGATGTGGCTTTGTCACTCTGAACCCTTCCAAAAAGTGAACAGCCCTTGGGAAACGGAGCAGACGAAAAGACCAGAGAGTTTCTCAGAGCGAAAAAGCGATTTATTTTGAGCTCAGAAATCACAAATGCAATTGTGAGTGCCCAAAAAGCAGGGGATCTGGAACAAAGGATGACTAGCTTTCTTATATCCTTGGCTGGCATGATATTCAGTCCTAAACCTACGTAAAGGCAAAACCCCACTGCTCTCATTTCTTATTCCTTGAGAGGCTTTCTACTGTTCATTAAGGGGTCTGCAGTATATTCGCTTGATGCATCACATTATCAAGCTAATTAGCGCAGTGGGCTGCCTTATCAGAAACAGACGTCCTCTGGATGTCTCTGTCTAATCTTCTAAGATATTGTTGTTGTTGTTTAGTTGTTAAATCATGTCTGACTCTTTGTGACCCCATGGACCAGAGCACGCCAGGCCCTCCTGTCTTTCACTGCCTCCTGGAGTTGGTTCAAATTCATGTTGGTAGCTTCGGTGACCCTGTCCAACCATCTTGTCCTCTGTCGTCCCCTTCTCCTCTTGCCTTCACACTTTCCCAACATCAGGGTCTTTTCCAGGGAGTCTTCTCTTCTCATGAGATGGCCAAGAGGATTGGAGCCTCAGCTTCAGGATCTGTCCTTCCAGTGAGCACTCAGGGTTGATTTCTATTTCTAAGATATAGAACCAATTAAAAACAGTTTCAGCCGGGCTCAGAAAAGCCAAAAAAGCCAACTGGGTGAGGAGTCAAAGCATTGGTGTTTAGCTAAGGTAAAGGTAAAGGTTCCCCTTGACAATTTTTGTCCAGTCGTGTTCGACTCTAGGGGGCGACGCTCATTCCCGTTTCCAAGCCATAGAGCCAGCGTTTGTCCGAAGACAATCTTCCGTGGTCACATGGCCAGTGCGACTTAGACACGGAACGCTGTTACCTTCCCACCAAGATGGTCCCTATTTATCTACTTGCATTTGCATGCTTTCGAACCGCTAGGTTGGCGGGACCGCTAGGCTGGCGGTTTAGCTAGCTTAGAGCTAATGGCTAAAGCCTTATATATTTTGTACGTCTTATTCACTTCCCAGCTTGGTAGGGAATCCTATGGAATGTAGACACGTTGGAATGTTCAGCCAAGTTTTGGTTTTTTTTAAAAAAATAAAGATTATTTGGATGAGCTTGGTCTAGGAGATCTTTCAACTGTGCCCTTAGTTCATTAGTCAAGGGAGATGGACCTTAATTGTTACCACGCAGTTTTAATTGATAGGACTTTTGGCTCTCAGCCTTTATTATTTTAGAGCAGGAGTGGGCTTTGCATGGCCCACGGCTCTCCTGTGAACATTCAGCATGCATTTTCCCCTGAAAACCCCTTGAAACCTCTAGGAGGTGTGGGAAGGACTTTTTTCCCCATGTTCAGTGGTTGCTCCTAAATCCCTCCAAAGAGGTTTTTTTTCCCCCCAACTGCCACTAGAGTTTTTAAAACACCAGTTTTATAAGGAAAAAAATTGAGGGAGTTGAATCATGGCGGGAGACACAGGTCGCGAACCTCACTGGGTCATCTGCAGTACATTTCCAAAGACTTCTGTCTCATACTTTGCTTTAAAACTGCAAATCGACCAGCCCTTCAACCTGCCCCAGGTTCCAGGCATTGTTACTGCTTTCACCCTGAGGTTCAGGAGAAACGAAAAAGAAACCTTTCAGATTAAACAGATTTATTTCACTGTGAAGTTCCCTGAGTCACAGTCCAATTCTTTAGACACAGCTGAATGTGTCACAAAGGGTGGAGATAAATGGGTTAGTCTTAAAGGTGCCACTGTTTTAGCTTTGACTGAACAAGACGTACCCAGGCCTCTCTTTGAAAACTCAGACTCATTTGGGTTTCACTCTGTGAGATCAGCATATCCGATGATTGTCAGCTGGTTGCTGTCTGAGCTGTATTCACTTTGATGTAGATTTTCTTCAACAGAAATACAGTCTCCAGATCCCATAAGGTGCTAGGTAAAGGTAAAGGTTCCCCTTGACAATTTTTGTCCAGTCGTGTTCGACTCTAGGGGGCGCTGCTAATCCCCGTTTCCAAGCCATAGAGCCAGCGTTTTGTCCGAAGACAATCTTCCGTGGTCACATGGCCAGTGCGACTTAGACACGGAACGCTGTTACCTTCCCACCGAAGGTGGTCCCTATTTATCTACTTGCATTTGCATGGTTTCCAACCGCTAGGTTGGCGGGAGCTGGGACAAGTGACGGGTCCTCACTCCATCACATGGATTCGATCTTAGAACTGCTTGGTCTTCTGACCCTGCAGCACAGGCTTCTGCGGTTTAGTCCACAGCGCCACCACGTCCCTGAATAAGGTGCTAGTCCTCCTCTATTCAGCACTGATTAGGTCTTACCTTGAGTCTTGTGTCCAGTTCTGGACCCCACATTTCAAGAATGCTGACAAATTGGGACAAGTTCAGAGGAGGGCGACGAGGAGTATCGGGGCTGGAAAGCAAGCCCAGTGAGGAAATACTGGAAGAATTGGACATGTTTAGCCTTGAGAAAAGAAGACGGAGGAGAGACAGGAGAGCACTTTTCTAAGACTTGAAAGGTTGTCCTACAGAGGAGGGGCAGGATTTGTTCTTGATCATCCCAGAGTGCAGGACATGTAACCGTGGGCTCAAGTGACAGGAAGCCAGATTTCAGTTGAATATCTGGAAAAACATCTTAACTGTTAGAGAAGTACGACGGTGGAACCAGTTGCCATGGGAGGTGGTGAGTGCTCCAACGCTGGAGAAATTTAGACAACCACATTTCAGATCTGCTTTGGTTTGGATTCCTGCCTTGATCAGGGGGTTGGACTCGATGGCCTTTAAAGGACCCTTCCAACGCCATGATTCTAGGATTCTAAGCCAGCTCATAGGGCAGGAGCTGGTGTCTGTCTGGAATGGGTTCCATATCTTAAGTCACCATGTTACAGATGGTTCCACCAGGACTTGGAAACATTTATTTTTGGTCTTCACCTCCCAGTATCCCTTGCTGACTGGGGGAACTTTGGCAATTGTAGTCCAAAAAAAGAGAGGAAGATTTCCAAATGCTAAGCTCCACCTCTTGAATTGCCATTTTCCAGGATCCCCTCCGTCACTAGGAGGGACACTAGCAAGGGGATTCTGGGGGTCGTAGTCTGCAAAAATAGCTCCCAGACTTTAAGGGAGACTGGGCAATCCAGGTGGCTGGAGTGTTTCCTCACTCATTTTTTTCTTTTCCCCTCCAGTGGATGGTTTTCAGCCTCCCGCTCTTGAGTTTGCCCGGCATTCTCTCACAGCCCACCTACAAGTGGAAAGATCACCAGACCAACGAGATACACGAGTGCCAGCAGTGCCCGCCGGGGACGCACGTGGCCGAGCCCTGCACCGCGGGGAAGCAGACCGTTTGCAAGCCGTGTCCCGAGAACTACTACACAGAGTTCTGGAATTACCTCGACAGCTGCCTCTACTGCAACATGTTCTGCAACAGCCTGGAAGAGGAGGCCCGGCCGTGCAACAGGACACACAACCGGGAGTGCCAATGCAAGCCGGGCTACCACGTTGAGTGGGACTTCTGCCAGAGACACTCGAAGTGTCCTCTGGGAAGCCGAGTCATGGCTGTGGGTACGTATGGTCGTAGCAGGGGTCATCTGAGAACTGAACTCTTGGGCTCATGGGTTCTGGTGACCAGGCTCAGCCCTAACTTTTTGCTTTCTGTGTTGTCTTGTGGAGGTTACGTTTGGGATGAGCTGCTCTGCGTGTCGTTCTTCGAATCAAGCATGGGCCACCCGCAGCCTCCAGGGCAGCCTTTTAGCCCTTAGCGATACCAGTTGTTTAATACGGTATTGTTAAATATTTAACAATATACTTGGCCTGACAACATGGCAAAATGGCTCAAGGAGATTTTTTTTTTGAGCAATATTTTGGGCAATACATACCATGTTTCCCCGAAAATAAGACAGGGTCTTATATTAATTTTTGCTCCAAAAAATGCATTAGGGCTTATTTTCAGGGGATGTTTTATTTTACAGTTATGTCATCTTCTTCTGGTTGCTGCACAAGGGTGGAGGGCAGGGTTTCACTTAACTGGGGCTTATTTTTGGGGTAGGGCTTACATTACGAGTATCCTGAAAAATCATACTAGGGCTTATTTTCAGGTTAGGTCTTATTTTCGGGGAAACAGGGTATCCCCCCGAGCTATTTTGCTGTGTTGTCAGGGTGGGCCCATAGCCTCATGCCTTCCTCCTTATTTTATTTTATTTTTAATTTGGGCATATGGAAGCAAAACGGCCTTCTCCAGCCTTTTTCTTAAATAAAAAACCAAAAATACTGCTCTTTTTCAGAGTCTGGGAGTTGCCCACGGTCCAGGGTTGGAGCACAAGATGTCTGGAGAACACCCATCTCTCCTTTGAAGGTTCATGTGCTCCATCTCTGAAACTAAAGAGTCAGAATCTTTTGTTGGGCAAGTAGATGCATCTTGAGGTGGGTCAGGATGTGTGGAAACTCCTGAGCATGAATGGGAAGGTTCTGTAATGCACCGTCTGCTCCTGCACACAATCATTTTGCACTGGTGATAATAGAGTGTTGGACTGCTGGAGAACTCAGTGGTTTAGGTGTCTGACTTTGGAGCAAGAGGTTGGGAGTTCAATTCCCCACTTATGCCTCCTTGACAGAGTCTGGACATGATGATCCAGAGGGTCTCTTCCAGCTCCGCACCTCAAAGATTGTTGTTGTTTAGTTGTTAAATCATGTCTGACTCTTCGTGGCCCCATGGACCAGAGCACGCCAGGCCCTCCTGTCTTCCACTGCCTCCCAGAGTTGGGTCCAATTCATGTTGGTCACTTCGGTGACCCTGTCCATCCATCCCATCCTCTGACGTCCCCTTCTCCTCTTGCCTTCACACTTTCCCAACATCAGCGTCTTTTCCAGGGAGTCTTCTCTTCTCATGAGATGGCCAAAGTATTGGAGCCTCCGCTTCAGGATCTGTCCTTCCAGTGAGCGCTCAGGGTTGAGTTCAAAGATTACAATGATGATAATGATGAGTACACAGACGTGCACTTGGATGTTCTTGAGATGAAAAAGTTAGCCTTTTCTGGGTTTTTTAACTGTATGAGAGACAAGTAGAATACATTGATCAGATCACAGACCTTTTTGAGACCAGGATCCTAGCATGGCTATTGCTGTCCTGGCTGGGGGATTCTGGAGGTTGTAGTCCACCCGCCCCCCCAAAAAAACCCTACAAACACTTCCAAACTGCGCACTGATAGTGTCACAAAGGAAACAACTAGGAATGGTCAGTGAGTAGCTGCTGATTTTGAAACAAACAAGCAGGTGGAAAGTGCACTAGGATTCTTAGCAGCTACCGCCTTTCCCTTAAGACGCATCGTTCATGCTGCAAATATTTCAGACTAAAGGAAGGAAATGGACGCTACTAGTGCTCGCGGTCCTGATCTGATGATTGCTTTTGATTTTCTAGGGCTGATTAATGGTGTACTGAGATTTCCGTCCGAGGCCGAATCCTGGCCATTTCCCCCCTCAATTGTCATCACCTCCTTCCGTTAGCCTGCAGGAGAACCGGCGGCAGTCCCAGGCTGGTCCCAAGAGTGCATAGCTTTGAGAACTGTCTCCACTTTCACTGGTGCTTTTGCTTTGCTTTCATGGCTGGGGAATTCCCTCACTTCCTGCACTCCGGATAAAAGGAGAAGACTGTGTATTTCTCTCCAAGGCAACGGGTAGATTAGCAGACGCCTAGAGATTTAGATTCAGATCTTGGCTCGGTGCTGACTCCCACCCCGGGCAACTCGGAAAATTCCCCAGGGACGCAAGGGGTCTGAAATTAACAAACAAGTTTCCTTTGAGATCAGCTGCTGTGATCTGAAGCTGCGGGGTGCAGTCTGCAAGAGTTTTTAGCCAAATAAAAGCTGCAGCCTTTGAGATGCCACAAGACTCTTTTGCTGGTTGTTGGAAGCTCAGGATTCCACACCCTTTCTTTCCAAACTCAGTAGCATTATGCTCTGCTTCACAACAGTTTCTGGTGAAGCTCTGCAGGTGGAAAAGAGAAGTCAGGGCCTTAGAAGCACGGATGTTGGCCAGCCTTTGGGTTCAAGCCTCAGATCTGAGCCCAGATCTTGGGTGCCAAGTCCCGACTCCCAAGCCCTGATTCTGATTCCCTGTTAAAAACAAGTTTCCCCCCCTCAGATAAAAGGGGCGGGCGGACAGGGTTTGAGTCTGAGTATTAAAAAAAACCAAAAACTGAGTGGAGTCACAGGTGTGACTTAAGTCTCACTTGACAGCGTGTCCCGCAGTTCGAATTCCCATCCCTGCTTAGTGGTGCTTGGGAACTGTTTGTGACAGATACTCACAGGCGGTCAGTCCTCTCCGCACAGCCATCTCTGTTGCACCTGCAAATCAGTGGCTGCAATTTCCATTCAGCCGCGTCTCTAGTAAGCAGCAACCCCCATGTTTTGTGATGTGCTCGTTAGATTGGCCACTGGTCCCATCACCTCCTGGCAAGTAGAAGGGGAAGATCTGGAGGCAGTGACAGATTTTACTTTCTTGGGCTCCATGATCACTGCAGAGGGTGACAGCAGCCACGAAATTAAAAGACACCTGCTTCTTCGGAGGAAATCAATGACAAACCTAGACAGCATCTTAAAAAGCAGAGACCTCACCTTGCCGACAAAGGTCCGCATAATCAAAGCTAT